TGCCCTCAAGGAGCTCACAATCTATTGGGGGAGACGACAAGCAAATAGGTATAAACAAGCTGTACCCAGAAAAAATAGGAAATAATTTTTAAAAAGAAGGCACTAGAATTAAAAAGGGGTTGAGAAAGGCTTCCTGTAGAAAATGGGATTTTAGTTGGTATTTAAGGGAAGCCAGTAGGCGGAGACAAAGAGTGAGAGAATTCCAGGTATGGGGGATGGCCAGGAAAAATGCCCAGAGCCAAAATATGGGAGCATCTTGTTCATGGGACAGCCAAGAGATCAGTGTCATTGGATGGAAGAGTATGCATCAGGGAGCAAGGTGTAAGAAGACTGGAAAGGTAGGAGGGGGATAGGTTATGAAGGGCTTTGAATGCCAAACAGTTGTATTTGATCCTGGAGGCAACAGAGGGCCACCAGAGTTTACTGAGGAGCAGGGTGACAAGATGGGACTTGTGTTTTCAGAAAATCACTTTAGTGGCTGAATGGAGGATGGACTGGAGTGGGGGGAGACTTGAGGCAGGCAGATCCACCGGCTATTGCAGTAATCCAGGGGTGAGGTGATGAGGGCCTGCATCATAGTTACAGCCGTGCCAAAGGAGAGAAGGAGGAGTATTCGAGAGATGCTGTAAAGATATTAGCCAACAGATATGGGAGGTAAGAGACGAGGAGAAGTCCAGGATGACTCCTGGGTTGCCAAGTCTCTTAAGGCAGAAGGAAACAGAGTCATAGAATTTGAGCAATGTGTCTAAGGTCTCATAGATAGTTAGTGACAGACCTTTGACTAGAATCTGTGTCACCCAACTCCTGGTCCTCAACTTTATTTCACAGTCTCTCCATTCTCTTTCCAGGCTATAAGCAAGTTTACAACCATGGTTGCATCCTTGAAGGTAGGTGTTCTTTTCTGTGTGTTTGCCATCCCTTGCAGCCTAGAATATCGTTAGTGCTTAATAAACGCACGTCCACTGAATGACTTAGATAGATAGCCTGTAAGGCTCCTTCCAAGTTTATATAAGCCTCTCTTGCTGCCTTGAGATCTCTCATGAGGAACCCATAGGTCAACGTGTCCCCTTTTTGTCTCAATGTAATGTCTTAGAAGAAAAACTATCCATGAAGAAAAAAGCCTTCCAAGGAGGTCCCGAAAAGACCGGAGGAGGGGATGGAAGAGTCACTGTCACTGTCTAATGTTCTAAGAATCACTGGCAGATGCATTGCTGGAACAAAGAGGGTAAATAAATTGTGGCCTGTTAAGCACAGGCAGGCTGGCCACATTTCAGGTGTGCTGTCGTGGACATTACGTTTCAAGCACAGGTTGGACTTGATAGCCAATAAGGGCTCTTTTAACTCGGAAATTCTGTGGTTCTCTGAGTGCCCATGGGGGAGCAAGGAGAGATACTTGTGCTTTCAAGAAACTACACAGAGGAAAGTAGAAGCTATGGACTCAGCTCCCCCCACTCATGGTCCAATGGAAACCCAAGTTCTTGTGTCTTTTTCAAAGGTCCTATCTCCTGTCTACTTGATACATCTTGAAAAATGTGCAATTCATTTTGTTTTCAGTTTCTGTCAAACCGGTAATATGGTTCTAGAGCAACTGCATAATTCAGCCACTGAACCCAAATCTGCTGACCACCTGGGCAATAAATTCAGCCTTTGTTAACCAAGTCTGCACACAAGAAGGGAACAGCATTAAAATCAGTGGTATAAATACGCCACTAACATGAATTTCTATGACTAAAGCCCACCCTGATCCATTTCCAAAGTGTCATCTGCAAAGCCAGTCTCTGTGTAATGCTTTCAGAAGAGTTTTAATGGAATTAGCTTGTCTGATGGGCCTACAGGTGCTGTAATTGCCAAGTCACCACAAACTCCCCAAAAAGTCATCTTTGGAATATACACAGTTTCTAAAATGGAAACAAGTCTTGTTTGCATTAACCTTCAGAGGATTCTAATTTTCACATTAACGTATTTCTACACAGCAAGCGGTGAAATCAGATATTAATTCCAGACAGTCACGATGTATTTCGAGCACGGGGTAGCCGGCAGCCACAATCTGGGATGTGGGGTTTTTATTACATAGCTCAGGAATGTATACAGTGCTCTGGAGCAAAAGGTGAATGCCCCTCACTCGCTCCCCTTAGGAGCCTGACCTGTCTTTATCCTGCTTAAAGGGGCCCTCGGATGTTTAACAGAGACCGCCAGAGGGGGTGGGAAAGAAGGAGGTCCCTGGTTGAGGTATGAATAGAGGAGCCGGCGGGCTGCCAGCTCTCTTTGGCAGTGGCCGAGCCCCACGGGCTCCAGCGATAAGGCCAAAATCCTCCAGCACAGCATGGTTGTTAATGTTATTACTAACTCAGAAACGCTCTTTGTCAAATACAGGCCCACGGAGGAAAACGTTTTATCACTGAGTGTCTGTATGCAGATTATTGGTACAGAATTGTTTGCACGTTGACCCTGCAGGAGAATCTGAGCTTCTCACAAGGAGGGATCGTCTTTTGCCTGTCTTTGTACCCTAGAGCTTAGCACAGTACCTGGCACAAAGTGAGTATTTAATGTTTATTGATTGACTGATAGATGTTTGTTGCTTGGTCCATCAGGAATGAAAACCCCAGATTCTTCACAATGGGCAGGTTGCTTCTCCCTCTAGGACTCAGCTTTTCTCACTTGTAAAATGAGATATTGGAACTAGATGGCCCTTAAGGGACATTCCAGCTTCAAAGTCAAAGACTAGCTTAGTGGGCTAGAGCACAGCACTAATAACACAGAGGGGCAGCCAGGCGGCACAGTGGATAGAGCACCAGTCTGGAGTCAGGAAGATCTGAGTTCAAATCTGGCCTCAGACAGAGCTGTGTGACCCTGGGCAAGTCACTTAACTCTTTAGTGCCTCAGTTAAAGGTAGATAAGAATAGCATCTACTTCACAGGGTTGTTGAGGATCAAATGAGACAGTCCATGTAAAGTGCTTTGTAAACCTTACATAAATGGAGAATCGGCCCGAAAGGCAGGAAGACCTGGGTTCAGACACCACCTCTGATACACACTGGCTGTGTGACCCTAGACAGATGACTTCACCTCTAAGCGCCCTATGCAACTCTCTAAGATTCTGAGTTCCAGGTCAGGTACTGATCTGAACTGGTAGAGGGAGTTCCCTCGCTGGGAGTTCCCTATGCCAGTCTAGACAAAGTAATAACTAACCATCATAACATCTCACAGGCTTGTAAGGAAGATGCTTTGTAAAACTTAAAAGCGATGGAGAACTATTATTCTATGATGACACCATGTCTCAAAATGGTCTTTTCTGAACTGGCCACAGGAATCCTAGAATTCCAGAGATTATCCCAGCCCAACTCTCTCAACCTACAAAAGGAGGAGACAGAGGAAAGGACCCTGGACTTGGAATTAGAAAGGCCTGGGTTCAAATTACTATCAATGTAACTCTGTGGAACTCATCCAACCTGTCTGTGCTTCAGTTTCCTTATCCCTTCCTGCTCTAATCTATGATACTCTAATCTCTTAGGCCACTTCCAGTTGAAGATCCTAGAATTTCCTAAACTAAGGATCCTAGAACTTTAGAGAAGATTATAGATTTAGAATTGGAAGAAGCCAACTAGTCTGACCACTCCCCCATCCCACCACCATTTTACAGAAGAGGAAACTGAGGTCCAGGGAATTCAAGTGACTTGCCTAAGTCACACAGGGAGTAACAGGGCAAGATTAAAGTCCAGGACTCCTGACCCAGTGCACCCGAGTCATCACCGAATCCTGGTGAATCACTGATGAATTTAAGGAAGAGGAGACAGCTCTTGAGCTCCACTGGCTCTGTGGAGGGCCAAGCCAGCTCTTCTCCCTTAGTGAGTAACCCAGTGACTACTCCCCTTGAGGTACACACTACCTGGGAGAAACAGTAGTACCTCCTCACAGAGTAGGCCAGAGAAGCAAAGGCATCAAAGGTTGCATGATGCAAGTGAATGAAGCCCGGGAAGCAGAAGACCCAGGCGCTCATCCCAGACCTGCCTCCGTCCAGCACAGCCGAGGTGATCTCTGAAACCCCCTCCCGGCCCTACCAATCTATGACTGAAAACCTCCCTAGCGTAGGTGTGTGGTGGGTCCACAGGACAGCCCAGAACTAGAATCCTTCCCTAAGAAAATGAGCGTAAAAACAGCCAACTCTCCCCTGCCCAGTGAAGAGTCTCGGTGAGGGCTTGGGCTTTGGTTCCTGCTCCTCTGGGCCGAGGAAGGAGCAGCAGGACCGAGGCGGGCTCCAAATCCAGGGCTCGGACCCTGCCCTCCTCCTGAGCCTCACCCCCAAGGCCATCCCAGCCTAGGTTCAGTGGAAGCAAACAAAAGGCACCCCTCCCATCTCCTGCCTCCAACCCTAGACCAAGAGGACCGCCGACCAGGGCAGCAGGGAAGACGGTGAAGAGCAGCTACTTACCATAGTCGGAATCTTTGAAGCAGGCATCCAGGTGGTCCTGATCCTCCTCGTAGTCCTCAATGTCAATGCTGTTCTTTGTGCTTTTCTTCAAGAGCCGCTTGCCGGCACTCTTGTTGCCCCCTCCCCCGTTCTTCTTCGAGTTCTGGGCCGAGATGGAATTGCTCTTCGCTTGGTTGGTGCCCCACGCCGTCTGCAGGCAGGAGTCCGAGGACTGGAGGTTTGCCATGGACAACATTCCCTGAATAGCTTCCTGTGTGCTGGGGGAGGCAGGTGGCTGACTAAGGGGGCACAGGAAGAGATAAGGCACTCTCAGCTAATTGCAAAAATAATATTGCAAAAATAAATAGCCCCTTGGGTACCCCAGGCGGGCCGGCGGCTGGCAGGCGGCAGCCGTCGGGGCGGCAGGCAGACGGGAGAAGGCCTGAGGCTTGGATTCCACGTGACAAGGCTGGTGCACCATACATGAAATCAATGGTTCGCAATTATGAAATCAAGGGCTCAGTGCTACAAATTAGAAAGCCTCAAATGCTTGAGTTTCATGATTAATCCCCTTCTCTACCTCTCATGACATCATGCCCCCCCCCCAGGCTCAGGAGGCCAGACAGCTAGGCAAGAGTCACCCCCAAACTTCTGTGAAGGCAAGAATGCTGGGCCTCACAAAGGGACAGCCTGGAGCCCAGCAAAGTCGGCAGCTAAGAGAGAAATGAAGGAGGGAGGAAGAGACGAGACACAGAGAAACAAACAGGGAGAGAGGCAAGCGCATGAAGAGAAAGAGTCTTGGAGAGATGAATTTAGAGAGTAATAGAGAAGGAAAGAGAAATATGGGGAGACAGAGAAAGAAAGGAGGGAGGGAAAGAAGGGGGGACAGAGAGAGAGAAACATGGAATCTCAGAGAGTGGGAAAAAATATGAGAAGACCTAGTCCAACCAACACCTAACCCAGAATCCCCTCTCCAAGATGCCCCTGACAGATAGTAAGTCCCCACCTGAAGGGCTCCACTGAGGAGCCCCAACTCCCTCCTGAGGGAGCCCACCCCAGTCTGGGTGGCTCTAAAGCTTAAATCTGCCCATTTTTAACTTATCCCCACAACTCCTGGTCCTGCCCTCTGTGGCCAGGTAGAACAAATCTAATCTCACTTCCACTTAAGAAAACAATACAAAGGGTAAGAAAGACAGACAGACTTTCTGAGACAAAGTGAGATAAAGGGGCAAAGGGGCCCCTCCTCTGTCTGTCAGTGTGGGCTCCTGCTCGACCCTAATGAAAAGATGACTGGGATTAAACACTTGTCCTGGGTAAGGGGAAGAGAATAACCTACAGGTGTCAGGAACCGTACAAAGTACTTTACAAATACCATCTCATTGTCTCACACTTCTAGCAACAGACAATCTCTAGCTTGGCTGAGGGGAGGAAGAAAGGAGGAGGCAATCTTGTTTTCCCTCTTTGGCCCAAGCAGATTTGTAGCTTTCCCTCTGGGAAGCCCAGATCCTCCCGCCATACCCAAAGGCATTGGGATTCCTCACTGACCCCATCCCAGGAGAGCCTTGGCCAAGACCAGACAAACATACCTACTTACATCTGAGAAACGTATAATCCCTCACCTCCTTCACTGCCTCCGGGGAGCCTTGGCAATCCCCCTCAGCTCAGTCTCCATCACAGCTTTGGGAAATCTTTCTAGAGGCAGCTACCCCAGGCAGTGTCTACATCAAAGTGGATGGCAGAAAGACAAGGTGCCAGCTCCAGCTCTGTAGGCTTGTGGAGAGAGAATTCCCTTGCTCACAGAGCCGCTCCCAGGCACAACGTGCTTGGGGGTCCTCGGCAGAAAACAGATTTCTGCAGGAGTTCCAGAGTTTTGTGGATGTCATAATGCCAATATCTCAAGACAAGATTTAAGAGACTAAGCTCCTTGAGGTCAAAGGTCTTCTTCATCTCTGTCTCCCTGGTAGAAACTTTTATTCAAGTCAAGGTCTTGAATAAAACAGGCTTCCCCCAACTGCTTTTTTGATTGGAAAGCCTTTCTTTCCCAAAGAACTAAACTTTTAGAATCTTCTCCTCAGCCTTTCCTATTGAACTGCAGCATTTGAGCTGTCTCAGACTTGGCCTATAAGAACATGAAGAAATTCAATGCTTGGGTAGGGCCCAAATTTAGCTGGCTTCCCAAGTTGGCTCCCGAGAGGCTGGCCCTGGAAGGATGCAAGCTACAGGACTCTTCATGGACAGTATCCTATTCTGGCCTTGTCCTGAAGGTTCCCTGCCCCAATATAGAACTAGAGATTAGAAGCTTGACACAATCTTCTTTTCACAATTCCATCTGAATGCAAATCCTACCCAGAGAGCTTCTTTCTGACTCCCTAAAACTTGGTCCTCCAACATCTCACCTGAAACAAGGGAGTAAGCAAAGTGGTTTGTTCCCCATGACTACGCGATTGATAGCTAATACAGTCAAATCTCTACCATCCTGGGACTGATTATCCATTTTGTGGATTTTTGAGTGGTCACTCATGGCCATTCTCCATGCTTAGAATGCACTCCCTCCTCCGTTCTACCTTCTGCCAAGGGCTCAGCTCTCTGGTGCCACCTTCTCTTACCACCTCCATCCCCAGCTACCAGTGGTCTCTACTGCCTCAAGTTAGGAAACGTCCGACCCTATCACTGTTAACCCTTTAAAATGGTGACCTTATGTTTCCCACGCCTCTGTTCTTGGTGCCAAGCCAGATTTAAGTATTCCAAGAACCCTCTTTAAATTGTATAAGTTCAACAACAATAAATACCATTTATATGATAATTTCTCATTCATAAAGTTGGAAATGCTTTCTCTCAAATTTGCCACGGTACGCCTCTAGGACGCCCACCAAGTATGTCTAGTTATGCCCTCACATACTAAGCAGAACAAGTCTCTTTCCCATGAAAGCTCTCTCTCTCTTTTTTTGTTTGTTTTTAGGCAATTGGGGTTAAGTGACTCGCCCAGGGTCACACAGCTAGTGTCAAGTGTTTGGTCTGAGGCCGGATTTGAACTCAGGTCCTCCTGACTTCAGGGCCACTGCTCTATCCACTGCGCCACCTAGCTGCCCCTAAAGCTCTTAAAGTCACTGAATACAGCAGAGATGTTACCCTCTCAGTTTTCTTGCCACCTTCAGGTAAGAGCACTGAATTTGAAGTCAGAAGGCCTTGGTTTGAGTCATTCCTGCTACTTAGTATCTGGCAAGTGACATCATCTCTATGAGCTTCCATTTCCTCATCTGTAAAATGAGGCATGGGCTAGGTTACCTCTGAGGCATCTTCCAGTTCTGTGTTCTATGGTTTTGCAATCCTGTCATCCAAAGGATTTGATCTTTGCAACACAGTGAAAGAATTATTGCCCCCATTTTACAGAGAAGGAAACTTGAGTATCCAAGTGCCCATAGTCAAGCTGGGGAGAGCAAAAAGAATCAGGAATCTAACCTGGGTCACGGTTTAATACATTTTAGAACTTAGAAAGACCCTAGATCACTAGGCCAATATGTTCTAGTAGCTAGCTTAGTGGGGATAGGAATGAGAAACGCTTTCAATGTTCTTTTGCTCAGTCTACCTTTTATAACATCCCTGCCAAGTGGTCATCTAGCCTGGGCTTGAAAATCTCCAGAGATGGGAAAGTCACTCCCTCCTATACCACTCCTACCAGACAGCTCTAGGAAGAAGGTTTTCTTTATATCAAACAGAAATCTACCTGTGAAACATACACCCACTGGTCCTGGCTCTGCCCTCTTAGGCCAAACAGAACAATCCTATTCCCACTTTCATCTGAAAGCTCTTAACTTAATTGAATATGGGCCACCATGCTAACATATAAAAATTCTTTCCTGTGAATCTTCTGCATCCCCCCTGATAGTAGAAAGGATGCCCCCAGAGCACATGGATTGTTTTATTTTTGCATTTGTATCTCCATAATGGCTTGAACATAGTCAGCATGTAATAATGGACTGAAATAGAATTATTAAAAATCTTCACTTCTTTATTTCTCTTCTCTTTCTGTTTTAATGACTTGTGCCTCTACTCCCCAATACTTCCAAGGAGGCTCAATCCAATCTAGCCTGAGCTGTGTTAGCAGCCCCTGAACAAGGGCGAAAATGGAAAGTCTTTGCTAAAATCATATTTGGGGACTATCTGTGGAGGTTAGTTCCCTGAGCTGATCCCCATTCAAAATAACTACTTGGAGAGAGTTGATTGCATGCAACATTTTCCAAACTTATTCATTAACAGAACCCCCATTCCATTTGTCCAATACCAACTTTAGCCACTATTGAATTGTTTTAGCATCTAATGATGGTAAGAATTTGCATCATAAGCATATGGTGTAGACATCAGTCATAGGCACATGTACGTTTGAGGATAAAAACCAATCCATGCTAGCAGCTGGTGAATCAATGAGCACGACACAGCGCTTAGTGAGGAAAATAATACTTTAATCCTCCAATTATCGTACCCAAATCCTTAACTTATTTCCCCCCAAGTGATAAACACAGAGCAAATCATCTAGAAGAAATTAACATATTTTCCCCCATTTTCTTCAACTCTTTTCCCAAACAGTGAATCCTCAAAACAGTGGAAATGGACCATCAAAACCTGACCCTACACACCAAATAGGAGCATTAGGAGAGGAACTGCCTAGGGCAAACCAGGCCCTAGCAAATAAAGGGATAGGAGCTGATCAAACCCAAGTCAAACCACAGCAAGAGCAAGAGCAGGGGGTGTGTGTGTGTGTGTGTGTGTGTGTGTGTGTGTGTGTG